CAAATTTTAAACCTTATTGGGCATATCATGAGACAGGGGGAGACAGTGAACCACCAAACTTTTGTGAGCGGATGGCAGAACAGGAGGAGGATTGGCAAAGGGAGAAACACTGCTAAGAGCTACAAGGGATGGAAGTTGTGGAGAGCCATAATCTTCCATGTTCGCAAGAGACATGACACACAGAATAAGAAAAAGATGTTGTTCAAAAAGAACCAACTATCAAATTATTTATCTATCTAATGTGTCTATCTATATACCTGAAATAGTTTCACACTGAAAGTGATCTTCAGATGGTTTGATGGTTGCATGTGGCATGAAACTAACCAGACATCAAGCAGAACTGATTTCTAGTTGATGGCGTCTTTGTTCTTTCTTACTTCATTTTTCTTTCTTTTTTTTTCTTGCATTCTTTCTTTCTTCTCAGTGGAAAAGCAAGATGAAAACATTTTATGTTTATAATTACTTGTTTTCTATATTCTAACTGATTTATCTCCAGCTGTCAAATATTTATTTTTCTACCTACATATGGAAGTCTGTATGATTTCTTGATTTAACTCTGTTCAATCACCTAGAGCGATATAAAAAGGCAAAGATAGATAGATAGATAGAGATGAAAAGACCGATAGACAGATAAATGCATAGACTGAGATAGGAAGATAAATGCATAGACTGAGATAGGAAGATAAATGCATAGACTGAGATAGGAAGATAAATGCATAGACTGAGATAGGCAGATAAATGCATAGACTGAGATAGGCAGATAAATGCATAGACTGAGATAGGCAGATAAATGCATAGACTGAGATAGGCAGATAAATGCATAGACTGAGATAGATATGAAAAGACTGAGATAGATAAATAGATAGATGCATTGACTCAGATAGATAGACAGACAGACAAACTGAGATAGACAAGGAGAGAGATAAACAGCGATAGATAGACAGACAGATAACTAACTAGATTGTTGGCAAGGTCCCATCATTTTACGGTTAAAATGGCTAGATGTAACTATAAGTTCTATGCTTGAACTCACTTCATTCATTAAGCCAAAAGAGAGTTCCACAAGCAAGAAGTGTGAGAGAAGAAACTGTTAGCATAGAATATGCCATAATGAGATAAGTTCCATTCAAGTAGCTGCTCCCCACAAACTGCTGCCTAGTAGAATCAACTCCCAAGGGGAAGCTTCCCTGATCACTACAATCTTAACCTGTTCAAGTCTAGAGTTAATCGTTATCTTCCACGCATATCCACATAAGCTGTAACCCTCTACCTTAAGTGGCTCTCAGGCCTTATACAGGGTGAACATCATTGTAAGAAAAAAAAACCAAGCAAGGTCACTAAGACACAAGGGGTTAATGAGTGTAAGAGAATATGAGAGAAAAAAAAATATTATTAAGGGGAGAGAACAATAAAAGAACAGGAATTAATAAGACAGAAGTTAATGATTGACATTGCATTTAAATTTTTTAAAATCAAATTTGACAAGAAAGCAAGAAGCTGGAAGAGAATTCCACAAGTGAGAAGTGTGAGAGAAGAAATTGTTAGCATAAAACTTATGGTTAGATCTAACCATTTCAACTATAAAATTATAAGACTTTGCTGCCAGTCTAGTGTGACATTATATGACATTGGCAAACAGAAAGAAAGGGTTAAAAAACGAAAATATGGTTTGGAACAAGACGAGAAGGGTTAAGGAATAGAATGATGGGCATACTGAGAGAAAGAAGAGAAATTTCACTTTTTTCAAAAGTCTAATTTTTTTTTTAGGGCAGAAATCTTGAAGAAAAGTGATTCTGATACAGGATATTACCCCAAACGCCATATGGCAATATATATGGCTGACAGCTAATTAATGATGCATCTTTAAAAAAAGTGCCGGTTATGAAAACACAAACTGAGAGATAAAATTTGCTGACGTCTGTTACTAAATCAAGAGAATAGAGTTTCTTTGTGTAAGGACCCAAAGCCTAGGTACTTAAAATGCAATGACCCTGGCACGATTTGGAAGGTGACTGACCGGAGGAAGCATTTGGTAAATTTCTAATTTTATAAGCAAAGCCAGGCTGAGAAATTTTACTGACGAGAAATTAAAGTGATAATTTTAATTAATGACTACAAACCTAGCCATGCCATGTGGTTGAGAACCAGATTGGTCGAAGGACAACCAAGGTGATGGGCGCTGATGAAATATAAAGGAAGACAGAGGAATTGCCTACACCTATTGGAAAATGTTAGTGCAAGGCACAAATAAGAGACAGCTACCCATCAGAAAAGGGATCTCTCCAAATTTGGAGGGATAATAAATTATCCAAAGCCAGACAACAAAGAGGATTTTGGCATAAGATAGGGAAAACACAGAGTCCCCTAACTACGTCAACCCCCATACTAATTTTGGTTGGATTCCAATATAAGCAAAATACTAAGTTGACCAAGAGAGAATTTCCAGAAGTTCTGGAGACAGTAGTTCCAGATGATAGACAAGAGGCGACTGCTCTGCCAAATTCCACATGACTTACTGCCAGAGAAAACCTCCAACTTAGGCTTTGTTCCAGACTTAGCTAAGTTAAGCAAAGTGTCACAATAGACTTCAAAGTTAATATTTCTGTACCAAAAACCAATATTATTATACAAAGAATGATTTAAAATTATATAGAAATAGACACTGTTTCTTTATTCATCTGCAAGAACAATTTTTTTTTTAATTTTCTTTGTGACATAGCTTTGCCGGGATCAAACCAACACTGCTATTGCTGACAACAATCTGATCTTTGCCAGCTCTGGGATTAATCAATACAACGTGGACAGAGCAACAGTTTAGACCAGAGTGACCAATTTAACAGCCAACGGCAACATTCAACCACAAACACCAACCGGCAGAAAAATGTTATACTAGCAGTACACTTAAATTCATAAAATCTAGGTACCAAAGAACAATTATTACATTACAAGGAAGTTACCTAATGACGGTTGGCATGTGACTCTAATATAAATTCTCCTAAATGGCAATCAATGCTTGACAATTTTCTCATAGATGAAGAGGAGACATGAAGCAACAGAGATGCTTAGAATACCATAGATGGAAAATATGAGAAACAAGGAAGTTTTAAGGCTAAGTAGAAACAAAAATGATATTTCTGATTAAAATGGGAAAAAGACAGTTGAAATTGAGTGGGGAGGGTACATAATGAGGACAATTTAACACTCAAAGACTGAAGGCAAAAAAAAGACAGAGGGGAAACATCAAGGAATCTAGTGAACAAGTTTTGTAAATGGATTAATGTGGACGGCTAGTAAGGGGACAAAAATTTAATGAAGCTACAAAGGAGAGGAAGTTGTGGAGAGTCATGATCGTCCACATCCCGAAGAGATATGGGACATAAAAGATCAGTCACACAATACCTTTCAGATGGTTTTTCAATTTTAAATTTAATAGGAATAGATACGTTTGCTTATGGTAAAGTTCACACTCCTCCCCTGTTTTTTTGAACAGGCATAGACTTTCATCCCTTGTTTCCTGTTTAGGATCGGATTTAAAGTTAATTCTAAAGTCTACTCCAACTCTATACTACTGACATCTACATCTAAACACTGAAATTTGTTTTTTTTTTCCCCTCAATAGGAGTAGATAGGTTTGCCTATCGTCTGGTTCACTCTCCTCCCCAGTCTTTTGAACAGGAGTAAAGGTTTATCCCTTGTTTCCTGTTTAGGATTTAGTTCTGGTTCCTCTTTCACTCCCATTATCCCCTTGCATCTTTGTGGCATTTTCACCTTGCTTGGGTGAATTGACTAAAAAAAAAAGTTTAATTTGAGAGTCTGGTTTATGCTATTTAAATTGTTCAGACTTATCCTCATCTTTACTGCCATATTCATGATGTTTCAGCTGTTGTATGCTCTGGCCTTCTTCAGGTGATTCAGGCATACAGCAGTCAAATGTGGCAGTAAAAATAAGAACAACAGTCCAAACAATTTAAATAATGCAAATAGTTACAATATGTCATCTCAGAAATAGAGACAGATGTTGAAGGTGAATATGGCAATAAACATGAGGACAATAGTCCAAACAATGGTTGGTGTTATGGTCCAGGTCCTTGTACCACAGTGATGGTCCAAGGTAGAACCAATAAAGAAAAACTCAAACATGGATATGGAATAACACAGATATATTACAAACAGGAATATATACGGAAAAGTAGAAAAGGTTAGTACAAACAATCAGGTTTAGCAGGGAGAACAATGTAGTCTCGACCAGTATCACTATTCCAATATCTTGTAGTAATTGTCTGAACACGACTCTGTTTCGGACTGCCTCTGACTCGACTGACTGACTCGCTCGCTCTGACTAACTGATAGACTCCTGGCGGACTTCTGACGGATATCACTCCAGACTTCAGACTAAACTCCCTGCTTCCTCTTGAGGCGCAGTATTTATTATGTATGGAATAGTCCATTATGTTATTATGGGTAAGGTCCCGTAACAGTTGGTAAGAAAGACTTCAAACTATAGAGAAAATTCTACATGTTCCAGGAAGAAAATGTTGGCAAACAATAAACATATTCCACAGACTTTGAAACAATATTATCAAGCAATTTTCTTGACTGCTATGTTCATTCTAAAATTATATGCAATATTGTTTGGGAATTGATTTCTAACAGCTTCATTATTGCTAATTTTTATAATAATTCATTTTTAAAAATATAAAATTGAATTTAAAGCACATAAACACACACATACAAAGTTGGATGAGAATTTAGTGGAATCGGAAATAGGGAAGATAATTATGAAAAAATTTAATTTAAAAAATGTTAATCTTGACATGTTTTGCTAATGATCTGACATCATCAGAAAAAGAATCTTATTACAAAGATAGAACACGATTTGCATTCATTAAGGGCCTGATTTTTACTTTAACTGTATCATTACAGACATTTAATTTTAATTAATTTTTACTCTTTTTTTATGGTTTAAATATCTCACTTGTTCTTCTTTGTCTATGTTGGCTTATGGCCACATCACACTGAAACACAAGTTCCCATACGATCACCAAAGTTAAGCAATGTCATGACTGGTCAGTACCTAGATAGGTGACAACTTGGGAATACCAGGTGCTGTAAGCTTGGATATACAGATGGTGTAAGGGATAATAGCTCAGAATTGAAATCAGAGAGCTCAGTTCCAATTCTAGTTGGGTTCGTTATATTTATTTATACCGTTAGGAAAGGTATGAATCCACCACTTTTCTCCCAACTATGGGTTAATTAGTAAGATGTGTATCTGCAAATCGTTATCTCCCTAAAATACTTACAAACTAAAAATATTTTCTGGCTTGATAAGTCATAAAAAATAAATCAATCTATATAAAAAAAAAGTTAATCAAACCAGAAACCATATTTATGTTTTTGAACAAGCAGTAATGACCTAGACTTCAGTCCTATTGACCCCTAGTCTAATGTGATTACTATAACTGTATACCCAGAAGTTATGAAAGACTTTATAACAAAGAAAGCAAAAAAGATAATCTTTTTCTAACTTTACTGTCAATAGAATAAATCAATAATAAAAAGTTTTATTATGGCAGCAACAGGCTTCCATAGCAAAGAGCACTATTTAAAAGCTGTACTGTTTAAATAAAACTGGCAATGACTCTATATGGCTGCTAGCCAGCCGAGTAAAATCTTGCAAGACACTGCCTTCAAGCTATGGTCAACATTTTGTGCACACAAGTGGCTGAACAAAGTCGCCATAAGATTTGGGGGAAGAGAAATCGACCGGGTTGGCCAAGATACAAAACTTTTGGACAAACATACGAATGATGTATGCCAATTAGAAAATTAACACACTTCTGACGTCAGTATAAATCATATCAAAGTATAAATTGGTACAGGTAGAAGGATTTACGACTTTCTCATAGGACATAGTCACTGGGACAGTCCAGTAGAAGAAATAATGTGATTATGGCATATTCTTATATATTACTAGCAGTAGAGCCCGGCGTTGCCCGGGGATATAACAGTAAGAGATAGATCAAGTATCGACCATCATAAAGACTGAAAAATAAAATTGACAAAGATTATTGTTTAAGGTTGACGGACACACATGTCTTAATTAGTTTTTTTTTTTTTTATTGAATTGGTCAAACCCAAACTCAAACAAAAACATTGTTTTCAATTGTTATGAGTCTCCCGATTGAATAGAATTTTATTATAAATAATTGTCTTGTAAATGGAATTTTTAAAGCATTGTGAATATTAAAATAAAAAAAAAAAAGTGTGCAAGAGAATAAGAAACACTACCTGCCAAAAAAAAAGTGAAGTTTTGTTTTATCGGCTGAAAAATATAGGAAATCCGATCCCATATTTAAAGGAACCCACACACAAACAACCCGATGTGAGTTGTCCCCTTCCATTTTCACGATGTCTCTTAATCGTGATTTCAAATTGATTTTGTGCAAAACAATTATATTTTTCCCATTTTGGCACTGTTAGAACCACCACAAGGGTAATTTTATGTAGTCCTGTGAAGTTTTGTTGAAATCGGTTGAAAAATGTAGGAAATCCAATCAATATATAAACGTTACACACACACACACACACACACACACAATAATCTGCATTTTATAATAAGTAAGATCTCTTCTTCTTCTTTTATATGAGTTCTCCCTTCTTCCTTCAGGACTTTGGTAATCATGGCTTTCCACAATTTCCTCTCTTAATAACTTTTGTCTTTTACCTCTCCAAAACTTTGTTTCGCCATCTATGTACTTAAGCTCACTAGGTAGGTTATGCATTTTTTTTTTCCTTGCTTACCTGCAATATATTCTGTAAGCATCAAATTTCGTCTTTTTATCTCTCCAAAACATTGTTTCACCATCCATCTACTCAAGCTCGCTAGGTAGGTTATGCATTGTTTTACTCTATCCCTCTTGCCTTCGATATAGTTCCCTGTACTGCTCCCGTATGCACCTGACTTCTCCTGCTATGCTCTACCATTACAAGAGCCAGATGAGGCTGAAAATGGAGTACTGCTGCCATATCTGGACTGGAGATGGCCTGCCTTCAATTTCCAGTCTTGAAAAAGTCCAAAACCCTCTATGCAGCCTTGTTGGTGATGAACTGTTTTCAACTCTACAACTGCTTCACCACAGATGAAACATTACAAGCCTCTTGTTACTCTATTACTATATCCATGGAAAATGTTCAAACTACATTCCTTAGTTTTACTAACCCTTACCCTGCCATTTTATATATATATAAGTGAACATTGAAGTCAACACTCAGAGGCAACAGACTGTTTCATGCTAGATGCAATCATCAGGCCATGAAATAGTCTGTCGCCTCTGAGTGTTGACTTCAATGTTCACTTTTATATTTACATAGGCTCTATCCTTGATATTGAATGTTGTAAATACTGTTTATTATAAAGAAAGCATTTACTTAACTATTTGTATCTATGAAAATAATGTATAAACAGAAAATATATTAAAATAATTGTCAGACTTAGATAATTTCATAATATATGACATCATCTGCTTACATTACAATATGCTTCAAGCAGATATGAGCATTCGAGAGAAATTATGGGAAATTTGTAGTTTAAGAACAGTAATTTGACCTTGCTAACCAGACACTTCCTCTGTAGGTAAATGGTATAGCATGTCAGGCTATATGACGGTTCCATGTACGATACAGGTTCACATATTTTCTATGAAATTTCTCAGACATTCAGGATTGCATATGTTGTTAATACTGTTTATTATAAAGAGAGCATTTACTTAAATATTTGTATCTATAAAATAACGTATAAACAATATATATATATATATATGATTTCAATTTTATTTATTTTATTTTATTTTATATATATATATATATATATATATATATATATATATATATATATATATATTTATTTCAATTTTATTTATTTTATTTTTATTTATATATATATATATATGATTTCAATTTTTTATTTATATATATATATATATATATATATATATATTTATTTCATTTTATTTATTTTATTTATATTTATATATATATATATATATATATATATATAAATAAAATAAAATAAAATCTATATATATATATATATATATATCAAATGACAATTGGAAAAAAAATCTTTTGTTTGCCGAAAACACGTTTACGTCTTCCGACTTTTTCAATAATAATAATCCCTTACTATAAAGGTAATTTACATTAACCAGAAAAAAAAGGCTGAGTCTTGTCCACAGAATTCATCTGGGAATTTAACTATATATATATATATATATATATATATATATATATATATATATATATATAATGATTTCAATTTTTATTTATTCATTCATTTTCTACAGTTTATTAAACTTTTGCAGATTATTTAAAGCCAGTAAATATTTTTTGAAAAGATTTTTTTTTGATGATAGGGAGATAATACAATGATTTTAATGATTTAGTAACACAATGATTTTAATGATTTAGTAAATACAAATCTTAACTAATTAACACATAGCTTGGGAGATATTCACACCTTTCCCAAGGGTATTTGTGTGTACATAAATCTAACAAATTTTACTGCAAGAGGAACCTGGTTCTCCAATTAACAATTCCAAGCCATTATCCATTACATCACATGCCCAGCACCTGGCATTTCCAAGCAGTCACCCATCTTGGTACCAACCAGGCCTCATGTTGCCTAACTTCAGTGATCGTACAGGAATCAGTGTTTCAACATGATGCAGCCATAAGCCATAAAATGACTTCAGGTTGCTAGGTAGGTAGATGGATTGGCACTTAGTTATTTACACAAGAACATATAAGCCTGTACCTACAAAAGTGAGTAATCTTCTGCCCATTAAACAAACACATCTTAATTTAGAAACGAGGTAAACAGGTCAATGAGTTACAAGAAGAAAAAAAAAATTAACAAGAGAAAAATGTATAGAGATGTATATTAAGAATGGCTTTAATGTTGCTAATAAAGCCAAAAAGGATTAAACATCAAGTGCAAAAGGACAAAATTCATGCTTGTTAACAAAAGGGTGACCCCAAAATACAAATTGCAAATCAGAAATACCACAAATCTAAAGTACGAAAAGGACACATGGCACAGTGGATGTTAGTTAGATCCAGTGACAGGACCCAAAGAGTGTAAGTTCAATACCAGGTTAAGGCAGTGAACTTGGAAAGGGGAATTAACAGGAGATAACTGATAACTGACATCCATTAGACATGGCACGTGGAACTAGAACAGTCTACCCCAGCAAGTGAAATAAAGGGTTCAGTTCGACATTCCAACCACCTGAAGAAGACCAGAGCATACAACGGCCAAAATGTTGTGATAAATATGGCAACAAAGATGAGGATGATAGCCTAAACAATGTAAATCGTGTACATAATACCTCATCTCAGAAATATAGACAAGTACAAAATTTTAACAGAGGACGGAAAGTGTGGCACTGAAATCCAATGGTGCACTAGGATAACCAAAGATGCATTCTAAAAGCTAAGAATTAAGAAACAGAAATTTCATTAGAAATAAAAAGAGTACTGAAGTATTACCTGATATCAGTCCTCCTACAGGATGCGATGGGTAAATTGACGCCATTTTATATTTTTAATTAATTTTGCACATGAATGCTGTTTTTTTTTTTCTTTTTTTTTTTTATTATTTTGTCAACTGCACAGTATAGTAGGGTCAGTGGGCCGCTGTCTTTGAGAAAAAGAGCACCATGATGCAATTCACTCTACCAGATATTTGGGAATTGCATGCTGTATTACTTGGCATTTGCACCAGAAACTCCAATATGAACATTTCAGAGTGTTTGGTGGGTGTCAATCTGATGATAGTGCAAAAGAGTTGGATGAATTTAATGGTGATTACAAAAGTATGGCAGCTTGGAAAACTCACTCTTATCATTCTGATAAAAAAAGAACTCCTGAATTTGTTGGTGGGGGCCTCAGGCTCAACACAGAAGGTGACATCAAGTGCCTTGAGGAGATAGTATTACCCTGAGTCAAGAGGGTAGCAGCTAGAAGACATTGTGTACTCTGCACCATGCCACACAAGCAGGAAAACACAGTCATGGCTGTCAAACAATTTCTGCAACCACATCACCCCATACA